TGTGACTCGTGTTCTATCTTTTTTTAGTTATATGTTTTTTTCTTTCCTGCAAATAAGGAGCCTTAAAAAGAATCTTGAGTTCTTCTTTTTCACATAAAACTGGAGAAAAGGATTTTTGGTGTTATTTTTTAAGTAATTAGCAAATTCTGTTAACTGCAGCTGCACAATATTTTAATAGCAGTTTATGATGTTATTTAAATATAACATAATTTTCGGCTGCTTGTCAGCATTGTTCATCTGTTTTGGGTGTGCAGAGCAGATGTTTATTTTCCAGGCACATATTTATTTCCAATTTAAAACCAGACGTTTCTCTCAGACTCTTTTGTTCAAATGCCAGTGTAATTCATCTAGTATTGTTATATACCAGTACCTTGACAAATACCTTGTTTGCTCTTTCTTTTCACGTGGAGGAGTGCTGCAAAGGTGGCATAATCAAGAGGTGATAGTAGGCAGAGCTTGTCCTTCGGACTGAACTCACAGTTAGTCCTGTCCTCTAGTGCAGGCAAGATTATCATAGGTGAGAATTCACACCATAGGCCTTCTTCCCTAGGGGAAAGAATTAATTTACCTCCCAGACCTATACAGATTTCTGAAAATACGTGTAACAATAGTAAATGTCTTTATGTTCATTAGGAAGAGCTGTAAGTGTATCTTTGTTTAAAGTAGACTTCAGCAAAAGCAAAAAGAACAGATAAACTTTTCTATTTTGCACAGCAATTTGAGAGCTAACAGCTTGATTTGGCTCTGTGAGCACAAGAGTTTGCTGTCTCTGCTCATCTAGCTCAGCTGTGGGAGTTGCTCAGGCAGAACTGAATTACCAGTGCCTTTCTCCTCCTTGTATTAGACTAGAGGAAAACTGGTTTTAGTTCTCAGGAGTGTTGCTGAGGAGTAAAAGTGATTATGCAAACTACTTTCTGGGTCTTTTTTCCTACTTTCTGATGTTCTAGCAGAGCAGGAGTTAAGAGTAACATGATTGTAAGATAACTCAAGGATACTTTTTGCCACCTAAACTGAAGCCCTTGTTCTGCTAAGAAAATGAATAGTCTAGATAATGGAATTATTTTCTGTTTCCACTTAAAATTGATGTTGAAAATTGAAAGGCTGATGGAGATGAACCTTGCAGGTGCAGTCTTTGTAAATACATGTTTTTCCACGTTTGTTTGTTTTGTACAAATTCTGGACATTATAATTACTAACGTTGTTATAATTTGTCATGTGTTATTCCTGTCAGAATGCAGTTTACGTTGCTGTAGTCATGTATTGAAAGGAATAGTATCTGAGATTAAATTTCTGGAACATTGCAATCATTTCTATTGGTATTGGAATAAGACAGATTTGGCTGAAAGCTTGCCTTGGTTGTTGGTATGGTGCATAATGGCCCAAGGTTAGATGAATTTAATAGCTCATATGGGTAAAATGAGCCATCTTGAATGTCATATTGCTATTAAAAAAATAGGACATTGTTAGAATGAGTAGAACATCCAAATAAATTATTAAAGTACCTCCATTTCTTATTCTTGTCCATAGTTTTAAAGCTCTACGCGTAACGTCTTCAACACCGACAGCTCTGTCCTGTGTTTTTGACAGTGCATGTAAGAGCAATCTGGACGCTTTCCTAATCAAGCCAAAGTGACAAAACTCCCCAAACAATTGCTTGTGCCAGGAGTGACTGCTGCTCCGCTCACTCCGGTTATCTCCCTCATGCCATGGCTGCAGGATTAGGCAGGGCAGGTCAAGTCTGTTTGCATGATATTAGCAGAGCAGGCGAGTGGGCTGGCTGCTGACCTTTCAGCACGCTGGTGAAATAGATCTAGAGCCTAGAGAAGTGAACTAGGGTCTCTAGAAAACGTTCATGATTATCGCCTTTACAGTTGGCTTGCTATTTTCCCAATAATGAGAACAATATTTGATTTGCTGAATTGTTATTCTTAAGGCACGATCTTTAAAATTCGGAGAAGTTTAGCAGTTTGGAAACCGTTGTTCGTAAGTAGTATTAGTGATGATAAGCTTTCAGAGTTGGCATGCCCACACAAGTGGCTGATGAAGCCAATTATCACCAAGACTGAAGAAAGCTTATATTGCACCCATTGTAGAATAAGGAGATAATTTCACTCTTTACCATATAAGGACTCTCAAGACAATCCTTAATTCACAGAACAAGTGTGATTTCAGCATTCTCCCTTTCCCACTTTCTGCCATTGTCCATAAAGGTTGCTAGGGCTGAGGGAAGTCGAATCTCTCAGTCAGTTGAAAGTATATTAAAGCACAGATTCAATCTATTAATTTGGGTGCATATCCCCTTTAGAAAATCTTCTTTTTTTTTTTTTAATGCAGACTTCTATGAAAAGCTAATTGTGAACACTAGAAAACCAGGAGACAAGCGAGGATGAATATGAGAGATATATTTTATGTTGGAGAGGAAAATATAATTCCAGCAAAAATTTAATTTGAAAAGTATTTGGACTGCAAGAATGGGGATTTCTAGAAATAAGTCCTTCAGCTTGCTTTTTATAGTTCATTTTTTGCCATCATTTTTAGTTATATACCTCAAATTATATAAGCTATAGATGTAGCAGTTCCGTTGTGATGCATGCTTTTGTTTAAGAACCACAGAATATTAATTTTTTTAGAGTCTCAAAGACATGTTTGTCTATAAAAATGTATGTTGATTTTGAAAACTTACTGTCAAGAGACTAAAGGAATCTTAATTTTTGTTATGTCGATGTAGAATAAAGACTTTGCTTTTGATCTGAAGTGGATTTCTCATTAAGAGAAATTATTTTTCTACTAAGAGTGAAACGTCAGCAGATTTTTCTTATTAGGAGCTGTA